CACACACACCCTCTCTCTCTCACACACACACACACACCCTCTCTCTCACACACACACACACACCTACAACCTACACACACACACATACCTACAACCTACACACACACACACACACCCCCCACACACATCCCCTCTCTGTCTCTCACACACACACTCACCTTCACACACACACACACCTTCACACACTCACTCACACTCACTCACACCTTCACACACACACACACTCACTCACACCTTTATACACAAACACTCACACCTTCTCACACACACCTGTAACACACTGGCATGATGCTGGCACATTGTTAAATGTGTGAGAAATGAGTGGTGAAACACTTAGGAACATCTCTGTACCACTCAAGAATCTGCACTAAGCAAAAGTCTGCACTGCTGATAGTGCACCTCAATCTCTCCCCCATTGTTATACACTGACAGACCTGCCCCCACCATTACTGTACCCTCGTGTTATACAGCAACAGACCTGTCCCCACCAGTAATGTACCCCAGTGTTATACAGTGACAGACCTGTCCCCACCGGTACTGTACCCGTGTCGTACAGTGACAGACCTGTCCCCACCGTTACTGTACCTCAGTGTTATACACTGACAGGTATGTCCCCACTGTTACTATGCCCCAGTGTTATACAGTGACAGACCTGTCCCCACCGGTACTGTACCCTAGTGTTATACAGCGACAGACCTGTCCCCACCCGTACTACGCCCCAGAGTTATACAGTGACAGACCTGTCCCCCTGTGGTGGACTGGATTGTACTGGGGTTTTGATGCACAGACCATGCAGCTTTGAGAACTATGTCACCGTACAGTTGACAGTCCAATCACACAATCCATGCAGAAGGTTAAGGGGACAGAATTCAATCCTGCACTGACTACACTCCTCTAAACTCCCTGGTGCCATGTTGCCCTCTGTCCTGCAGGGATCCAGAGAGAATATCCCAGAGGGGAAAGATGGTCTCATGTTGAGCGGCAATGGAGGCCCTAGCTGTACCAAGTGCAGCAAGAGAAAAAACAGGCTGTATCGATAGGAGTTAGGAGTTAGAGTGCTGCTGAAGAAATGTGGGCACCCTTGGCTGTGAAGGCCTCCAGGGTCAAACAGCCGATTCACACTCGCTAATTTTGGATCAACAGTTGTCCTGGTTAGTCCCTGTATTGGTCTGGATTAACTGTGTAGAATGAATCGAGTGAGCTGTGGTGAGAGTGGCGGATTGAGCCCAGCCTGAAATCGAGATAGTGCTCCCTGCAGTGTATACACAACAGAAAGAGCCAGTGTTGCTGCACCATCAGTCTTACTGCAGCAGGCATCAGACCAATGAGAGCCAGTGCAATGCTGGCCAGAGACCAGGGAACATCAGCCTCACACATACCAATGCTGGCATCTCCCTGTCGCTCACTCTCCTCCATAAACATCCCTCAAGGCTGCTTATCATAGAATCTGCTTCCTGCAGTATCTGTACTCACCCTCCCTCTCCCTTTCCCACCCTTCCCACAAGTGCCTAGCTTTCTTTAAATCATTTGATATATTTCTTCTTTTTGTAAAATAGGTAATTATTCACAAATATCCTTCTTTTTCAAAAAAAAAAGAGAACTGGAAACCCACATGGGGTGCTCTCTGTCTACAGGTTAGGTGGTCATTTCACATCTACAGACCACAAGCTTAATACACAGTATTTACACTTTGTGTGTGAGCGTGTGTGTGTATGTGTGTGAGAGAGCGCGCACGTGAGAGAGCGCGCGCGTGTATGTATGTGTGTGAGAGAGCGCACGTGTGTATGTATGTGTGTGAGAGAGAGAGAGTGAGAGAGTTTTTCAAATCCCACACCAAACCCACCCCCCACCCCCCACCCAATTAGTGATGGGATCTGCAACAGGCACCCTGGGGGTCAGGCAGCTTGCTGTATAGCGTGAGGCTGGGACTAATCCGTGCACAGTGACGATGGGATGAGCTCCAAAGCTCTGGTGCCACACCTTGTCAGGCTCTCCACACGGGCCGTTACTTCAGTCTGCTTGGCTCCCAGTGCCCTCGGCCACATGCCAATCACTTTTCCATTCGCCTGCACCCCCCCACCCTCGGGCACCGAGGTGGGGGTTGAGGGGGTAGGTTCCTCCCTGCAGCACCATCCCCCGTCGGTCTCTCCCACTGCCCGCCATCACAGACGCTCATTTCGAAACGAATCCTCCACAGTGGGATCCGACAGAAGGGTC